TTGTTGACGCTGCTGTTTAGCTTGATTGCAAACATTCAACTCGGGAAGTGCGTTAGCAGCCAAGACTCAGACACAGAGTTTGAGGGGCCACTAACTTTGTGGCCCACTAAGTTGAACCTTTCTAAGAGGTACAGTTTGCCATCCAGACACACGTTTAGTTTTTCACTTACATTTGTTAACTAAAGCAACATTAATGCTATTGATTCTTTAAAAAAAAAAAAAGGACAAAGGGGCAGGTGATAACTTACTTAATTTATCCTTATTTGGGGGAGACCATTACTGTGGTGGTATTGTGTTCCCCAAAATATCGTGTACCTTAATAAACTTACCTGGGGTCAGAGAACAGAAAAGCCACTAGTTAGGCAGTGATAGCACATGCCTTTAATCCTAGCATTCCAGAGATAGAAATCCCTCTGGATCTCTGTGAGTTCAAGGCCACATTGGAAACAGCCAAGCATGGTGACACACGCCTTTAATCCCAGGAAGCAAGCCTTTAATCCCAGGGAGTGGTGGTAGAAAGCAGAAAGATATATAAGGCATGAAGACCAGAAACTATAAGCATTTGGCTGGTTAAGCTTCAGGCTTTCGAGCAATAGTTCAGCTGAGAGCCATTGGGATGAGGACACAGAAGCTTCCAGTCTGAGGAAACAGGACCAGCTGAGAAGTTGACCAGGTGAGGTTAGCTGTGGCTTGTTCTGTCTCTCTGATCTACCAGCATGGACCCCAATAACTCGGGTTTGATTTTATTAATAAGAACTTTTAAGATTCCTGCTACACATTACATTTAGATATCCGGTTGCAGAATGATCCCCTAAGACTATAGCCACAGAAACAAGGTGGCGGTCAAGGACACAGGCTCCGGTGCCAGATTTCCCACTTTACCAGAGACTACGCAAGCCAGGGCAAACCTCTCTATGCCCTTAGGTTCCACAACTACAGAGTCAGGATAATGAGATAACCACCTTCTGGGGATGCTGGAGCTCACGTAACACGCTAGCAGGGTAACAAGTACATACACAGTAAGTCTGCAATAAATGGGAGCCACTTTGGGAGGTATGACTGTCTACAAGTAACTTCCTTTTTCTTCCAAATGAACAAAATCCCCATAAAACAAAGAAATAAACACACGTTAGCCATACACTGGCTAGCAAAAGACTGCAGTTTCCAGAAGTACGTCCTTGAAGCTCCCAGGGACCATTCTGAATTCTGGCCAAGGAGATACACATGGAAACATAATGTAGGATGTTCATCAGGTCTTCCTGATAGATGGGGGCCTGTTCTTCCCTTTCTCCATTCTGTTTCCAGGAATGCAGAGGCTAGAGTTCCCGTAACTATCTGCAGCTCCAAGACGGAGGCAGCAATTTGGTTTCTCTGAACAACAGATTAGATGCAGCCTGGTTCCTGAAGGGTTTTCTGGATATCAGCCCTGTGCCGCCTATCTTTAAACTCTTAGGAGAAAGCATAAACTTCTAATGTGTTCCTGCTATTATTTCTGGCATCTCTGTTACTCAAGGCCAAACTAAGGGTTTGGTTTATCCCTCGTGGCAGTCTAAAAATCCACCTAGTGGCTCGAACCCATTTTGGGTCCATGTTTTTACAGATAAAGGCAAGATGGGACAAACACAGAAAAGGAGCCAGCCAGCACATCTTCAAGACCTCTCCTCCTATGATGGCTCATCTTGACTGGCAACTTGATTGGACCCAAGAGTGCCTAGAAGACTGTTAAGGAAACTCTTCGGCTGTGCCGATGGGGGCGTGTCTAGAGATAATCCACTAAGGCTTAACCCGACCGTGGGTGGCGATCACGTGATGGAACAGACTATGGGATGGAAGCTCACCAGTGCAGGCAGGAGCTCCCTTCTCTGCATCCTAGCGACCAGGACATGAGCCAGCTCTGCTCTACTATGTTCGTTCTGTCTTACCACAGGCTCGCAAGCAGTGGAGCCAAGCAACCACAGACCCAAGTGAAACCATGAACCAGCATCACCTTTCCACCCTTTAAATCGTTTCTCTCAGGTGTCCGTCAGCACAGAGACAAAACGCTAAGGACGCATCCTCTTTCCGAAGTCAGTCTTGTGCCACAATCCCCTCTCTCCTGCGCAGAATGCCAGGGCTTCCTGCTCTGTGCACCACGTATCATGTGCTCTATATTATCCACTGATGAGAGCGTTCTATCGTGTGTTACGACATCACCATACAACCTGGACCCATCAGATTCGGTTCCAGCTAACAGATGAGTGACTGTAAGGCATCTTTTTCTACTGTCTTCCTGAGCAGTTCCGTGTTTTGAACCAAAGCCTTCTAGAATGTTTGAATGATCAACAAGTGTTGTGGGGCAACAGGTTGGAGTCAGGAAGCACGTGCCTAAGAGCGTCACCTGCTGAGGTTGACTCATAAATAAGTTAATATAGTTCCCAACGGTTCACCCCATACTCCCAGAGAGTTTCAAGGATGTGTGAGCAAAGGAGAACTGAGTATTTGTCTGACTAGGAAATTAAATAGCAACCAAATTCCCTGGGGCTATGTACTTTATACCCTACTTTAGTAACCGTGATGATGTCATCAGCGGCTCAAAATTCTACACAAGATACCAGGAGGTTATTTGTTCCTGAGTAAATACTAGTCAGTGGTTAAAGTAAACCATTTTCCTTAAACCCCTAGTCCACCGATCAACTATCCTACACTTTTAATCTTTCTTCATGTAAACGGAATATGTAAAATGCATAGATTTCATTTGGACAAGTCAGAATTTGTGCGTTTAGTATAAAGTGTAGGAAGAGGCCAAGTAACATCTCTTTTGAAGGTAAGTGGTGTGTGTGTGTGTGTGTGTGTGTGTGTGTGTGTATCGGTGTACGTGAGACTGTGTCTGTGTGTGTGTCTCTGTGTGAGTATGTGTATGTCTGTGTGTCTCTGTGTTTGTTAGTGTGTCTTTCTCTGTGTGTATGAGTGTCCCTCTGTGTATGTACCTGTGTGTGTCTGTACCTCTATGTGTGTTGTGTGTGTGATTGTGTGGTGTGGTGTGCATATGTGGGAGGAGTAGTGTGGGAGGGTGGGGAGGTTCACTGAAGGTGATCTCTGGTCTCCACTGAGCATGCTCTTCGAAGTGAAGTTTCTTTCCGGGAGCTCAGAACGATCTATAGATGGTACCTCAATGCCTTTCCCCCTCTCTCTCAATCCCTCACTGACTCTGAGGGGCTACATGACTGACAAGGTCATCCAGTCTCTAGTTAACTTTCTAGGACCTTCAGACTTCAGATTGATGCTGATTGGAGTCCTGAGGACGTGTGTCAGCTGCCTTGACCCAAATATTGCCTGCTAAATATCCAAACCCAGTGGACAGAAGGAATTGGAGAAACTGGAGAGATTAGACTACATCCGCACTCCATTTCCCATGCTGTCCAACTGGCTTCTCTTGGATCTATCTGGCGATGGAGTTTAACCTGACTCCTGCATCTCTGATCCTGCCCGTGGTGTTGGGAAAACCAGTGGACTCGCTTGGTGAAGTATGAGCAGTGGGTTTGGATTTCTAGGCATGAGAAGCTCATGGAAAGTACAAAGAAGACTTCCCCTTAAAATAGTCAAAGGCAGCAGACACCCCATTTGCTCTCTTCCTCAGAGGCACAAGCTCATTTAACTTTTAAAGTAAAAAGTTTCTAGAAATGGTTAAAATCTCCGGTCATCAGAACCTGACGAATCACATAAAGCACAGGCAGTTAAGTGGCCTTTACCACCTAAAACTCAAATTCATCAGAGACATGGTGTACAGTTAGGCCTTCTCACATGAAAGTTTTGCAGGTTGCACATAAATAAGTTTCTGAAGGAGAAATTAGCATATAGAGATCATCCTATTCAACACTCCCCCCCCATCATCTAGATACAAAAATCTTAGAAAGGAGTCTGAAGAGATGGCTCAGTAATTAAGAATGATGGCTGCTATTCCAGAGGACCCAGGTTCAGTTCTCAGGGCCACACTGCAGCTCACAACTGCCTGTGACTTCAGTTCTTCGGAACCTGACCCCTTTCCCAGACTTGCCCAGCATGGGTACAGGTAAATGCATAATGTTTGCTCAGATGAACACATGCACACATAAATAAAAATAAATCTTAAGATAAACCAACCTTGGTGCATTTTATAAAAATGTTATTTATTTTTTAAAAGTTTAATTAGTTAACAAACTCCTTTAATCAGCAAGTATTAATGGGGCGTTAGAAATGTAATTTACCAAACTACATTTTACACCCTTGTCTTTTTAGGACCAAATAAAATTTACAGTTAAGAAAAATATTAGTAGTTTAAAAAAATAGAGTGGCTCCAAATTATTTAATTTCTTATGATGATATACAGTACCCTAAGTGAAATGTAAGTCAAATAAGACAAATTATTATAAGGAAGGACATAAAGATATCACCATTCCTCCCACCCCACCCCCCACACAAATAATCTTAGTGCAGTGCCGTTACCAAATAGTCAAATGAACTGAAATGGAGGAAGGGGCATGGAAGAGAAAAAAAAAAGAGAGAAAGAATGGCTTAGGATCCAGTTCAGTAACAGAGCACTTGCCTAGCCAAGGTCCAAGGGTCAGACCCAACCCTATAACATACAAATAAATAGAAAGGCAGAAACGAAACTACCTACAATCAAGCAACTCCAAACTGCTCACATCTAAGAATGGCAATCTTAAACAAAATATTCAAACATGGACTGCATGTCTCATAGAATCCAGCCAGTTAAAGCACATCTAATCGAGGCCTCTATACTCTGTTTCCTTAACGTCTTTAACTGCGTGTGTGCATGCTAGTGCGCACACACTCATGAGGGCGCTGAGTGTGGAGGGACTGGCAGAGGAATGCGCCCAACACGCCGCTACCTCATCCCAGATTTTCACAAGAAGCCCATCCGTCAACATTGCAGCTCGGAGGAGGGTCTAAACTGAGCAGCTCCCACGGGCCAGAAATACAAACCAAGAAGCCCACAAACAAAGACAGCATACTTAACTTACCGTGTAAAGCTCATTAAGAACCTTCATTAAGTCCTCGTGCAGTTGGAATGCAATCTCTTTGCTCTACAAAGAAGAAAACGAGAGAAAAACATTACAACGTGTGAGCAATGCTGTTTTGAAATTTTACGTATTTTAAAGCCCACTCACTGAAGGTAGAAGGATGTCTGAAACATGACAGAAGGCCAATGTGTCCTCACTACCACAAAACACCTTCTTCGGTCGGTCAACAGCCCTCTCTCGTATTGAGGAGCTTGGCTCCTGGTCTCTTCAGGATATGCAGGAACAAATAAACGGGCAGCCCAGAGGGCTTCCCCACCAGCCACGTCAGACCTTGTGGGAGGGTGGGTGATGCGTGCGCAGGGTGAAGTGTCACGCTCGCTTAGACGGTGAGTTGCAGGCCAGGCATGGTGGGGCCTATGATAATACTGTCACTAGGCAGGGTGATGAGGAGGACAGTGAGTGTCAGGCCAGCCACCCTGAGTCACTGTCTCAACCCAAAAAGCAGAGGCCAGCGAGAAGGCATTTACAGTACAAGCCCAAGATCCTGCGTTTGCCCACCTAAAGGTGGGAGGGGAAAAGTGACTTTACAGACTTGTCCTCTGACCACACACACAACACGGTACACGTGCACCCCCACATACACCCTACACACACTAACAACGGCAAAACAAATGGGAAAAAAAAGCTAAAAAGAGTAAATTTGAGCAACCAGTTTTCCTCTTCCATGTAATCACCATGGATTGATTATATTGTGGCGATCCCCCAAACAGCAAAGTCAGAGGGAATGAACTCTTCGGGTGCACTACAACATCAAGAAAACACGTCCGAAACTGTCACGGGGCGAGTTCACTTAAGGTCCACACATTTCTACGTCTGCTTTATTTTTTTTTTTTTTATGAAGACCAAACACCAGAGTTGACTCTTCTCTCTGCTTATCCTGAGTTTGATGGAGAGAGAATTGAACACCGCTTTCACCAAGCTGTGGGTTACTTTAAAGTTCTTTTATTCGCACTTATTTATCTCTGTTTTGAGTTCATCCTGTTGGCATCTATAGAAAATGGAAAGAGTGTGTACAGTGTGCTCCATCTACAGTGTGCAACAGTAACAGGAGCCACCCCTGGCTCTCACACTGGCCTGCACAGTTTCCCATGCTACCTATGAGAATGGATACCTAGGACATAGGATTTAAGATGACTCTTAATCTCGCCCAGCCTGGCCATCTTGGCTAGGTGCACAGGAAGCTTGGATTAAAGCCTTTGATGACCACAAGAGCAAGCTGAACGACCTTGTGTGAGGGGAGCGAAGCGGTTGCTATGGCTACGGAGACCATCTGCAGACCACTGTGGAGAGGGGATGGCCGTGGCCAGTCTTAAGAATCTGGGTCTCGGCCAGGCGGTGGTGACGCAAGCCTTTAATCCCAGCACTCGGGAGGCAGAGCCAGGCGGATCTCTGTGAATTCGAGGCCAGCCTGGGCTACCAAGTGAG